AAAACCGTGCCAGAACCGTGCAGATGTAATACCGTCGCGAAAAAATAATAGCCCAATACCGAAACTAAAATATCCGCCATGACCGTCTTCCTTTATTTGAAGTTACTCACTGTGACCACTGGCAACAGACATAACAAAACTAAACAGAGAACAGGTTCTAATCAGATTTCAAGATCGTGTTATTTAGTCGAGCTTGCTTTAGCAGAACGAGACTCACTCTAAAAATGGAGGCGTTTTCTTTCGTGGGTCTCACCCCAAATGGTCGGCCATGGTCCCAGGCGTTCCTAGCGGAGAACGTGGAAACTGGGGATAACAATCGTGACGACTTTCATTGTATGCAAATGAGTCTCGTGATGAGCATGCCGTTTATTTTCGGCGATGTTTGAACAGTCCGGAATATCCCTAAATTTAAGGACAGGGCCAACTGGTCACGCGACACTTTTCAACCAATGAGAAGGCGCGTTTGTGTTTATCAACAAACAAATCAAAACATCGCCGCAGTGATCAAAACAGCGGACGGAGTTGGTCAGAATCAGTCATCGTTTCGAGGCTCTCAGGCATATTTTTAAGACTTTTCACGAGGCATACACAATTTTTTTAAGTGGACAGCTTATCGGAAGCCATATTGGAAGTGTCTCGTGAAATATTCAGCACATTTTGTGGCTTATTTCTTCTTTAAACAACGCGATGTATGGGCGAGATTTTGGTCGGTTTTCAAGGTAGGTGAACAAGTATCTGTTATTTTTTCGATTCACAGATTTTTTTTACGAAGTTCTAGATATTTTTCCTCGATTGTCATATCGATTAACTTTTATCATGTTGAATGTGGGGATGGTAGACAACCTAGAATTTTGGTAGACCAGGTTTGTCAGGTTTGAATTTCGAGGTCCAAAACACGTACGTTTTCCACTCCCGGGTTTCTCACAGAGGCGTGTTATTACTTTTTTTCGCATTAGTACGAGCCTTTGCCTGTTTTCTTTTCAAGGCCAAAACAACTTTATTTAATAGTCTTATGAATATTCACGTCCTACATCTCGCCTCACTTTGCCGAATTTGCGGGGATGAAATTGGAGATGATAAGCGCAAGGTAGATACTAACCGCTTTGTTTCTGAAATTCACCAAATCTGGAAAGATTTAATGTCGCTGGATTCTCCAGATGTTCATCCATCGTTAACAAACAATCAAAGAAAGAAGGCAAATTTCAAGTGTAAATGATGTATTTCGCAACTCATTGAACATGCACTAAATCTGGGATAAAATTAAAACATTGCAGGTACCACAGCAAGCAAGTAAAGCACCAGATGCGTGAAGTCAACACGAAACAACACCAGAAAACAAACAAGAAAAATTAATAAATTTGAACTACTTTTTATTCTTGTTATGATGACTGGTTCTTTGATTCTTGTCCTGTAGAAGCTAATAGGTAGTACCGATCCTGTTTTGTATGATCTCAACAAATTTTCACACTCTCCGTAAAGCTATTTTTACACAGGACCACTTTGCTTCTATCAAAAATCTTGCAAGCCATGCCAGTGAAGCCAAGACCTCTGCGCTCAGTCCGGTTCAGTTCAAACACCCCAATGATTCCTTGCAATGAATAATGCTCTTATTCTCTTACATGAAATGTTTTCTTTGAAATATTAAATGTGAAACCTAGACGAGTACTGTAAGCTCATCTTTAATTCTGTCCGTCGACTCCGTCCGTTGTTTTGAAAATTTTTGAGCACTGGGGCGATGTTTTGATTTGTTTGTTGATAAACACAAGCGCGCCTTCTCATTGGTTGAAAAGTGTCGCGTGACCAGTTGGCCCTGTCCTTAAATTTAGGGATATTCCGGACTGTTGAAACGACGCGCCATGTTCTATAATTATTCCCGTACGTGCGGTAAAGCGTGACCTTCGGAGCCGAAGAGACTGAGTTCGATACCTGCTATCTCCCATTCTTTGTTTATAAAGCGTCATTATGACAAGCAGGAATTTGATACTGATCGTTCTTAGGGATGTTTCAATATGCTTTGTTATTTTAGTTAGCGTTTGTGAAGATTGGCCTGTTCTAGGACTATAGTAATTTCTGTCCAAGATTGAGCACGACAGAATCGTGTTTGCACAGTTTCCCACATGGTGACTTTCAACGTTTAATGCACAAACGATTAAAAAATATTCATTACTAGTAGAACTAACTCAACACATAAAGCAATCACAAATGGACAGAAATAGCAAAGAAACTAATTTCGCTAAATTCAATTTGAGAATTTCTGTAGACGTTTTAACTCTGCCTGTGGCCGCCGAATCAACCTTTCGAGCTACAGTGCACGTGTAATTTAGCAGTCACTACGCAACGTGACAGCCTTGAAGAACCATTTGCTTTGCAAGCACGTGGTTTTTGATGGACACTCGGTCCGTTGTCACTTGTCGTGAGTTTTCATTACATACATTTTCCACACATAACACATGGCAAACATATTGGTAATTCGTAGATCAAATTAAAAAGTGCTTAGAAGGGGCGTTGTTCGTGAAGTAATATATCAAACATGAGACGTAGTGTTTCATCACCAGATGAAACACTTAGAAGAGAGTTGAAAATACGACGCACAGCTGAGTATTTTTGACGAACTTCGTGGTGTTTCATCTGCTGATGAAACGCTGTGTTGAATGCTTGATATTACTTCTTAAAGAAAATGATATTATCTGGCGGGAGAAATTAAGAACGCAAAAATGAGCAATTTTTCATCTGATTTCCAAACACTCATTAAACATTAATTTCATTTGTATTTTCTTTAGGGACCAGTCATAATTTAAGTTGGAGGGAGGGGGTGGAGGAGAAATTGGGGGGCCTTCAATTTTTTTTGGATGGAATATGGGGGGCCTTAAAATGCCAAAAGATGACCTTGGGGGGTCTTCAAGTTTCTTTTAAGTAGCATCCCTACTGAGCAGCATGATGTTTGAGTATTAAAGGACCTGATTTTGATTCAGTTTTACACAAAGTCCTATATTGTGTAATACTAAAACAATTTAATCAGCATTTTTACAAAAAGATTTAATGCTCAAATAGTAGGTGCATCAACACAACATCCATTATTGTGTAACACTGAAACAATTTCATCGGCATTTTAACAAATGATTACATGCATAAAGTCATGTTATGCAATCTCACTTTCCGAATCATTATTTGTAGATGAGGTTGATGCGGACTCACTGTCTGTGTCACAGTCAAGTTTTTCGCTATTAGAGCTTGTACTGCTCATATAAAAAGCAGTAAGCTTTGGCTGATTATCTTCTTTCTTCCAAAAAGCGGTCCTGTCGGCCTCTCACCTTTCGATGGCTTGTCTTATCTCAATTATAACACAATCACTGATATATCCTTGCTCTATAAGCTGTTTGAGAGGCTCTAGGTGAAATCTCTTTCTCAGTTTAGTGTGAAGTGCTTCTCTGTTGTTAGTTGGCACATTCGGAAGTTTCAGTGAGTAAGAACGGTAAAGTAAAGAAAATGTTATTTGTTATTACCATTTGGGTATTATGTATAAGAAAGGGGGGCCCTTAAATCTTTTAACATGATTGAAGGGGGGTACCTAAAAAACATGGGTGCTATTAGTGGGGGTCTGGAAAAAATTAGGAATAAAAAACAATTTCTCCTCCACTCCGCCCTCCAACTTAAATTATGACTGGTCCCTTATGAGTTATTGATGAGTTCGAGAAAAAACAATAAAGTTATTAGACTCGGTAATTTTTACTTTTCTCTGGGAAATGTTTTTGTGAGTTGCTTAAATCCGTGATAACATGTTAAAAATACAAGAACACCAACACAGGTCATAGAAATTTCTGAATTTCTGAACTGAAAAACTAGCGACAAAAATCATGTAAAAAAATCTTTGAGAAAAAGGCGTTAATTTTCGTGATAATTTACAGTGCGAAAAAAGCCGTGTTACGAAACATGCTTGGGATAATATATTGCTTTGAATTTCCCGCAGTTGTTTTTCTTTAAATAAGGTTCGCTTTACTGGACAGCTTTCTTTTGAAAACTTTGTAAAAGGACTCTGTTGTCAGATATTGAACAGTCAGGCATTCTAATTTTAAGAGTGTGATGTTTTTAGATCATCTTGTTAATACGCCAATAATAGTATATATACCAGGTCATTTTGGAAATTTTTTTAACTGTTTAATTTACCTAAACACTCACGCTTGCTTCGATCGATCGTCCTGAATATTGAATGAGTGTACTTTGTATTGCAAAATTGTGAAATACTGCATTCTGTCCGAGGTCTGTGTGATAAAAACAGTCTCTCATAGTACTGTTTCACCTCAGATGTGATGTTTAAATGGTATAAAAGGTTGATTTACACGCGCCCAGATTTGTTTGCAAGTTTTTGTAAAGTAAACTTGTCGAACGCAAAAAAATGGGCCTGATTTTTTTTCCAGGCGGTGAGTGAAGGGCCATTATCGAAGATGATTGCTATTTTGGGGGTGTATGTATGAGGCTATCTTGGGCTGTTTGTAAATTATTTTTCTCTAAAATCACCTAGCCTTTCCCTCAAAAGTCACATGAATGTGCTCTAAAGTTAACTGAATTGTGGAATACAAGTTTACTGCTTGATTTAAATTATAAGTTTATGAATGGGAGCCTCGCTTTTAGCCCTGGCTAAATCTATATATTATATTGTTTTGAATTTCCTGCAGTTGTTTTTCTTTAAATAAGGCAGTTCGCTTTACTGGCAGGCCTTTCTTTTGAAAATATTCTAAATGGACTCTGTTTTCAGATACAGTATGGTTTGATCGTTGTTTTTAACAGTCAGACATTCTAATTTTAATTAAGAGTCTGGTATTTTTAGATGATCTTGTTAATACGCCAATAATAGACGCGTGGGTGATATGGGGCTAAATATGTACGTCGGTGAGACGCGAATACTGCTTCTTATATTCATTTCGTTACACGATCTAGTAAGTTCACAAACAATATTATTACGTCAACCGGTATTAGCTTTCAGTTGCCAGGCAGAGACGCCGAATAAATGCAGGGCTTGCACTACGACGCTTCATCAGATTTCGAGTTTGTCTCATCGTTCTGAAACATGGTGTCAAAGATCTGGTTTACTGTATTTCTCCTGCTAAAGGCCGTTATCGATTTCTCAGGTTTAAGATATTTCTTGTAGCAAACCTTATTCTGTTCTTTAAAAGTTCTTTTCAAACATTAATTTTCTTTTTTTCTCCTTCTTTTATCTTCATTCAGAGGCCCAGGAAACACCAGAAGGTAAGCTCTTTTTTTAAAAAGAAAATATCCATTTCTCTAGTACCTTAAATGATCTGTTGTGTGCAACCACAGCTTAAAGTAGCCCTAATGAAGAAAAAAAGGAGAGATTGGGAGTTTCAGGAATAACTTATTATAAACGTCACTTATTCTTTTTTTCAGGAATAAGTTTGCTTTAATTTTTTATCAGCTTACTACAGCATACCTTAGCTGTCTAAAATCTTTCTTCTAACTTTCAAATTATTGGGGGAATATCCCATTTTCACCTCTCAAAGCCAGCGAATTAGAGCTTTCCCCTTTTAGTGGGACTCTTTTAGATTAGTTCAATTATGAGTCAACAAGAAGTCTTGCATTGATCGAGTTTTAAGCATTGCATGCCTTGCATACATTCGAGTCAGTGGTACTAACTGAAATTTGTATTTGGCAGTTTTTTTGCGCAATTTTAACGCACAACGTTCCATTCTTTTTCTCTTTTCACAATTTTTCAAAATGAAATAACTAAAACCATTCATATAAAAGAAAAAAGCTGAAAATATAAGAAAATTCCTATGGCATCTCTAAGCCACCATAGACGTGTTTTCTACTGTTTGACAAATTATGCGATTATACGGTGCAGAATTTTGTGGTCGGCAGTTCGAATAGCGACGATGGAACATAAACAGATCAAGAAAGAAGCACGTAAAAGTCAAAAATTATCTAATGGTTGTCGGCTCAGTTTGATCTAGTTTCGTAGCTCGGTTTTTTATATAACACGATCGAGTGCCTATTGAGTCCACAAGCGAGTTTGTAGAAAGATAGCAGTTCATCTGTCCCTTTTATTTATAGTTAGTATATGGATATTTTCGTACTGTACCAGGACCAATCTTCCAGTGTTTCCAGATGTTTTACGGCAAATGGTAGCAACGAGGAAACTATACGGGAATACTGCAACTGGAAATACCGCTGGATCATCTGACTAATTTCGGATCCATTGTGAATGGAACAGCGTAGATCACTAATCCGTTAGTCTGGATTTGGATTCTTCGGATTTCAAATTCAATGAATCCTTTAAGGGAAGTTCAACAGCTCAAAAATCCGGATTTAGATTTGCCGAAAGGAACACAAAAGCTGTTTTAAGATCTAAAATTTCACCGAAAGGAACACACCCTAAGTATAAAGTGCAAATGCATTTTTTTAAATTAAAATTTGCATTCTTCCTGCGCCTGATCGACTCCTCGTCCATCAAATGAACTGATATGATTTATCTGATCACGCAACCTTCGATCGTTACGACTGTTGTCATCGTCGCTTTTAAGGCTTTGAAGCTCTTTTACTTCCAGTTGAGTATTCTTTCGTACATTCCCTCTTTATTTGTGTGATCTATGAAAGTGTATTTTGATCAGGGATGGAGCGAAATGAAGGAAAAACCACCTTCTTGATAATTCTCCCGTTCGGTTCGCATCGGAAGTCTTTTTGAATTTTAATGACATCTCCATGTACCCAAGAAAAAATTTTCGCCTCTGTCCCACCCCCTCCTCCCCGCCCAGATATTGGAACAGAGGACAAAGGGAAGTCTATGGGGATAGAATTAAATCTAGTAGGGAGGGTAGGGAACAATTCGTTTAATTAACAATTAATGAATGAGGCTAAGTATCGTATGAAGAATTATGGAGATCGAGGAGGGTGTTATAGGATAACACCCCCCGAGATCTTCCTAATTCTTCATATGATACGAAAGCCGAATTCAATAATTGTTATCTTATTCATTCAAAATAATTGCTAGTCTAAAAACATGGCTAAAACATGCTTACCTCCATCGATCCATCGATGTTAAGTTCATCTTCGTTAGTGAACGTTTAGGGTTGTTCAGCTCTGCAAATATTCTCCAAATAGCAGATGTCGGTCTTCGAGTTGTATTCTTGCTGTTCTTGGCATGTTTTTAGCAATTATTTTGCCTAGTTCTTACTCTTGAAACGAGTAAAATGTCCGCCATTTTTGTTTCCACAACCAAAACAACTCAACTTCGTCCCCAGGTCTTCTCTGTAAACGGTTCATAACCTGCAAAAACGCTGCATTTTTGACGTCATTTCCTCCCTAAACACAAAATTCCTCCAAATTTGGTCATCAGTAACTGGTTATGGTAAATTATGCGTGTGCTTCTAGCCAATCAGAATCGGGGAAATATTTTGAATGAATAATAATCCCTGTTGAATGCATAAATTCATTATTATCGAGTGAGTGGGTGAGTGAGTGAGTGAATTTTTGGTACATACTCACACCTATACCCTATAGTATGACGTCATACCATAGGGTAAAAAAACCATGAACACTAGAAATATTTTGTGGAATATAAAGTTATTCTGTGACAGGTGAAACATCCTAACCTTAAGTAGCTAGGGTGATGAGTTTATGGTGAGTGAAGCTTCTCTTAATGATATTGTTTTTGCCTTATTGCGACACTTAGTGTAAAATCCTTCTTTATCCTTTTTTTTCCCTTTTTTTCTAGCGGAAGGTCCTGAAATGGAAGGTAAACGTAAAGATACATCTATGTAATCTTACTGGTAACCAAGGAACATCCCAAAATTCAGTTCTAAACGTTTATTTCGGGTTTCAAAAATGATTTACTGTGAATCTTCCCTTCGCTGAGCTACACTAAGTAGTACCATACTATAAGCAATTAACTGATTTAATACCAGGCCTTCGTCTTGTCAAAATTTAAGTCTGCAGGCTTTTTCGAAAAGGATTTCGCTTAGTGATTTTTGTAGCTTTTTAAACCATTTGCATTTGTGGAGACTCGAGTGTTCCTTAGCACATTTTGTTAATACGTTACTATGTGGCTTACTTTTGGAGCTGCTGCGCGCGCCAAAACTCTGGTATTACATCGTATCCATTCTTTGCAGGTCCAGAGAATGGAACCTCAGCATTTTTCAACTTGCCGGGTATGTGATATCCGAATAATTTTTTGTGTGTTACATATGTCTGAGACCTATATTCATTCGCACACATCCAAGTCTTTGTATAACAGAGGTGCATATAATTAGCAAACTTAAGTCACGGACGGCAAGTGGAAGTTAAACTTTCTCATTCCTTGTGCTCAGTACAATATTTTAGTCATCACATTGACGTCATAGCACGCTAGAACTAGTTCCATTCCTTTTCCGGTTGCTGTCTGCGTCTCAAAAAAGTGGCTACGTAAGTTCGCCATTGTTTAGAATCAGAACCTTATAACGTAGGTCATAAGCTTCTCTTAGAAAACATAATCATAAATTGATTCAAATGAGAGAGCGGAAGATTTTAATTACTAATTTTAGGAAAAACGTTGAAGGTATGAGATGACTTTTCATCTCAGTTCGAGCCGTAAAGGAGGAAACACGGAACGCAGATAGATACTAGCCTGAGAAAACAGCAGACATTTGGCGGCGCCATCACTGATTTCCCCGCGGAATGACGTCTGAGAAACGAGCGGAGAAATTCCATACTGATGACGCGTCACTACCCAGAACTGGGTAGTGTTTCTGATTAGTCATGGTTCTTGGTGGTGCCGCGTGGGAAATTCGATTCAACCAATCAGAAGTACTACCCAGATGTGGGTAGTGACGAGTCATCAGTATGGAATTTCTGCACTGTTTCTCAGACGTCATTTGGCGGGGAAACCAGTGGTAGCGTCGCCAAATGACGGCTGTTTTCTCAGGCTTGATAGATACATGTCAATGAATATCAAAAAAGTGTATTGCTATTTAAAATCGTTAAACAGAAGTCTTACATGGGGAGGTCTAACAAAGCATCATTTATTAAAGGATACTGAATCTATAGTTTCAAACAATTTACAAGTCGTCTTCTATTTCCATGTAGGATGTGGCGTTCGCCCTTTTAGAGGCCGCGTAATTGGTGGTGTCAACGCCACTGCCAACTCCTGGCCATGGATAATTTCCCTCAGAATAGGAGGACTTCACAATTGTGGTGGCTCACTGATCAGACCAAACTGGGTGCTTACTGCTACGCACTGCTTATTTGACCCGATACTAAGTAAATACACGGTTGTTGTCGGTAAGGAAGGGAAAAAAACTAAACATCTTGTTCACTAGTAATGTACTCTTGCAAAACTGCAAAATGCTAACCCTACTAAATTCTTTATACTAGGGGTACCTTCCGGCAAGTGCCAACGAGGCGAATGCGTTTCTCTTTTGTGAAATGTGCCTATTCAGATCTTCGCGATATTTTTTTTTCATAATTATAATTTTAGAGGGTTAAAATGGATTCCGCTATCGGAATAGGATGGCACCCAACTTCAAAACAACAACTTTGGCACATCGTATCTTTAGGCTTTCACTTTTTAATTATTAAACAATAACAACATGGCTTGAAGCTTTGTTGGTAAATATGAGCAAGTTAGTACTTATGTTTCATGGAAAATTCAATTGCATCAAAACTATAAACGTTAGAAAGAAAAAGATTGTTCAAATGAGGCCTTTGACTGCTGAAATTATAAACAATAATTAACTTCCGAGCAACAGCGTCATCAGGGATAAGAAAAATGTTTCGCGTGGTAATATACGTAAGAAACAATTGGTGTAAAGTAAAATGTGTGAAAAGCGCAAGAATGGGGCGGAATGTATCAGAGGTATAAAAATATAAACTTGAATAAAATACAAAGATCTAATGAGCGAGTGTCACAGGACAAAGAGTGCCTTGAAAGGCATAATGATAGTCTTCAAAACAAAAAGGTCCGCAAATTCGTTGCATTCCTCACGGGAGTTTTGGGCTGTCTCAATGTAAATCGAGCAGCCAAGAAAACATGCTGGTTGACAAAATCTCTCGAATAAATTTTAAAATAAAAGGTCCGCAATTTATAAAGCAAACCAGAGCACTAATTGCCCTTTCAAACTAGAAATCGTATTAAAGCTTGCTCACCTGTTAGGTCCTCTTGAACAAACCACGAACAGCTTCACACTGAATCAGCCAATGTCGGTCCACGAGTTGTAAATACAAGACAATGACTTCACTACCCAAATATGGGGTCTTACTTACACCCAAATATGGTCAAAAATGCAAATTTTAGAGGGTTACGCAGAATTTGAGAGTTTTTGCCTACATTGCGCGGCGTTATAATTTGCCACCGAGTCAACCTCGCTTCTTAGCTCGGTTGCCTCGTTGGCAATAAAAAAATAAAGGCACCTTTTCCAGCCAATCTTAAACAACCTTGACCTTTCACTTCTTCCCCCTCCCCCTGGCATAACGAACTTCTCGTAACCTTAAAGGCAATCCCCTTCGGGGCGGATACCAAGTATTAATACACGGTTGTTGTCGGAAAGGAGGGGGAAAAGTTAATATCTTGTTCACTGGTATTGTACTTTAAAATTGCAAAACCTCAAACTGCTGACTCCCTTCTAAATTCTTTAAAAAAGGTTTAGCCCCCCCCTCCCATCCAATTAATCTTAAAGAGCCTTGATCCTCCACTTCTCTTTCCTGTTGTTTTTTGATAGTATTGTAGTTTTTACATTTTTTTTTTAGCGATCTATGAGTTGGGCCCGCAGTAATTGGCGCTCGCTGTTGCGGTGTCTCCGCTTGTACTTTTGTGAATATATGTACACTTTTTTTTGTAGTGTCACTTATCTTATTGTTTAGGGAAGTTAATAAAATAAAAATATAAAAATAAAAATAAAACCCCTATATGGAACTTTTCACGACCTTAAAGAGGTAATCCCCCTTGCCACCGTTCTTTTCAATGCCACGCAACGGAAGAAACGTTGCGTGACACCCTGAGGAGACCTCAGCAGAGGGCGGCTCAAAAAAGAAAAAGAAAAAGTATGAAACGCATTTGTCTCCCTGCAGGCGCAGATTCCTTGTCCGGTTCAACGCCTGTTCAAGAAGTATTCACGGTCAAAAGGGTTATTAGGCATCCTGACTTTAGTTGGATCACAGCACAAAATGACATTGGTCTTTTGGAGTTAAATGGCAATGTCACACTGAGCAGGAAGGTGAACCTGGCCTGTCTGCCGCCACAGGGATCTAGAATTCCACCAGGAACACCATGTGTAATTACAGGTAAACATTCCTTACTCGATCAGGCTTTGTTCTTTTAATAGAGCGCTTTTCGATTAAGTTTCGTAAAACCAAAAACTAGTTAAAACCAAAGTGATCACTACAGCCAATCAAAAGGAAGGAAAATATCCGTAGGAGCCTATAAAAGAGAACTCAGTTAAAAACAAGCACACTGCCTAAACTGCGGGAAAAAGTGTGTGATAATAAAGTGGTGATTGATTTTAGTTTCGCATTTGATTCAGGTTGAGAGGGTGGCGCGAGCAATCACCGGGCGAAGTAAAGCAAAACCAAAGCAAAACCAAAGCAATCTCGGAATTACTTTCGACACGCAAGAGAAAATTGCTCTGTGAGGACGAAAAATACCGTGCTTCTTTGGAAGATATATAACTAATGACAGTTACTAAATAAATCTTTTAGGCTGGGGACAAACCATTCCATCTGGACCTCGGGCTGACATTCTTCAGCAAGCAACTCTGCCTGTTGGTAATCAAAGTGATTGTAGCAGACGTAATGGCGCAATAGTTCCTATCGATGAGAGGTCAATGTTGTGCGCTGGAGGTCAAGGAACCAGTGGTACTTGCAGGGTACGCGAATAGATATACGAGAGACTATCAAGCACTTGATTTTCTCTTAATCGATTTAGCAAGTTTCAATTGAGTGTCGAAAGTAGTCCGGGATTGCTTTGGTTTTGCTTTACTTCTCCACGTGATTGGTCGAGAAAACTCGCGCCAGATACCTCAATCACTCACACCGACAGAAGCAAAACCAAAACCAAAAGCGACTTGGTCATCCGTGTTTTTTCGCGTTGGAAGCGGTTTGCATGTCTTTAGTCGGTTTGAGCATTAGGTGCTCGTAACATTTTCCCTTATCTGGTTGGTCGTTGTGGTTACTTTAGTTTAGATTTTGTGCCACTCAATCAAAAAGCACTCTGTTGGTAAACTATGTAGACGTTTTGTAAAATTCGTTATTCATTTTGCAGAAATTCATGGGCACTGTTCGAAAGAGGCCTGAAATAAGCAAATCTGCGAGGTTTAAGAGTGATCTGTTAAACCCAATGATCGAGGGTATGACTCTACAAAGTCGCGGTATTTTATAGACGTTTGCATGACAGGGCACACAGACAAACAATTTTAACATTTTGGGTCGGCGGGGCTACATCTCCCTTTTTTATCAACATATAACTTCTCAAGCCTGGAAGGTTTTCTGGTTTTATTGCGCTCTTTCCAACACTGGCAATAGATATCAGCCAACTGGTCCAAACCAAAAACTGAAAGCAGTCTCCGTACTGATGTGAATGTTCACAATGAAGATGATTTGGATACTTTGAGTTGTTTTCAATATAACAGAATGCTTAGTCAAATTTTGAGCACAGTTATACAAAATTCAGTTACTTTTTTGTAACTCAAGATGCGGCAAGGAGCAAATTTTTGCAAAACAATTTCCATGGCAGATCGTATGGATCAAAATTTTATGGTTTCTGTAGCATATTCTTTGCTACAAGACCATTTGTGGTCAATAACTTATTCTTGTCATGCGTAGTAACCACA